ATTCTGAAGGAAAGAATTACTTTTATGGTTTCAGGAAAAAGTCTTGGAGACCTTGAGAAAGCAAATAAAAGGAAACAGAGAATGCAGGCCACTGAGCACAGCTCTGCAGTTGCACATCTGATTCTCTGCCTTGGCAATGTTAATGAACCTCAAATCCTCTCTATAATTAGATGAGGGAATTGCTTATATTTTCAAACAGATGATGCTGCTATAATGAAACGATTGACAGGGAACTTAAGAGTGTCTACAGTAGTCATTTGGTTTCTGGTTTTTTTTTTTAAGTTTAAAAAGAAGATTGGCTGTAGACACAGGTCCTGGGAGAGGTAGTAATTTACAAAGAATGCTATGACAGGTGTCTTTGTACAGTGAGGAAATAAAATGGAAGAGAGAGGAATGATGGGCAGGTATAGCAATTTTTGGGGGGAGGAGGTGTCCTATGCTTATTCTGCTTGGGTTCTTTAAAAGGGGCCGAGACTCAAGAGATGGATCCGGATTGAGTGCACAGCTGTAACTGCTGATGAGCTAATTGCTCCTTATCTCTCAGCCCCATTCATCTTCATTTTTTACCAATTACCGAGAATTATCTGTGTTCTCAGTTGGATATGAGAGTTAATCCTTTTTGGTTAAGCTGGCAGTACTGTGAGCAGATTCCAAATTGTAGGGTGAAAAAGCCAGAGCAAGCTTGTTCTAAAGCTGTCTCCAGTTCAATGACAGTATCACTAGTTCATAAGAATTTTACTATTGCTTAACAGTTTAAACACTGAAAGCTTTTTTCCCCCTTTTTACATTTTTTATTAATATATATATTTTCTGCTGTGTTTAATTGTAAGCCTTAAATACATTTCCCAGGTGGACAGAAGTTTAAATGATTTCTAAAAACTATACATTTGCAAAGTTGAAAACAAGATAAATACAATTTCAGAAAGAAAATTTCCCCATAATGTGGCAATGTTCAATCTGTGATACATAAGAATCACCCTATACTCTAAAGTTTTAGGAATAGGACCATACCTATAAAATTGCTTCAGTGCCATAGGATATCATGAGTGCTTGGCAATGATATGTCTCTACTTCTGTAAACCTCTTTGATGGAAAGTGCTGTCTAGGTGCTAGCAAAGGGATAGTCATATAGCCCTAAGGACATATGTTAGATGTTGAACACATCACATTTCAAGTTAAAAGGAATGCTTTCATAAAGCTGTTCTCTGGGAATGCACAGAGGTACCAGAAACAGATCATTTGGTGGCAGCCAGGCCACTAGACATTGTCTTTTGTCTTAAAAGGCAGTACTGTGGAAAAATGAATTGTTATATTGAATGTCAAGCCTTAAAAGGAGTGTTAATCTGCTAGTGCAGGACATTCAGAACAGTCACGGGTTTCCTAATACTTCAGGATCTGCTTCCTGAGCCTTTCACTGCGACTCTTTAAGTTGCTAAACAAGACAGCCGGTCTAATGTTATAAACTCAACAGCAACTAGCAAATTTATGAAAGAGATTAGCGGAGCCTCAGTGCTTTCACACTGGACAGTCAATAATATTAAAAAGGTGAGACCTCCATCTAGGTTAAGTCCGTAGTGCCAGCAGTTGGGATTTCCTGAAATAAGACATGAATGAGTTAATAGTTCTTGCCCAAAGCTGTGATATAGAAGTGACAAAATTGTGGCTGAAACACAATGCAAATAAAAATAAACAACAACCCTGTGTTGAAAACAGTAGATGAAAATTTCATATTGTCATCCAGAAGACTTTTTACAAGACAACTTTGCATTTTAAGATTTGTTCTTATTCTATATCAGTAAATATATATCAGTCCTCAAAGAGCACTTGTACCTGTGTGGTTTCCTGTTCCCATCAGGGATGTCAGTGGTAGCTTGCTCTGTCCCTTTTTCCTAGTCCAAGCTTAGAATTTGGGATTCAGTTCTCAGATCATCAATTTGATGACAAATCAGGATAGCTAGATGTCTTGTCTCTGGTCAGAATCTAAAATAATTACTTATATGTAGACAAGCATTCAGTAGCCATGTAATGCCCACTTATATGCACAGAATAAGGGGGGAGGGGGGGCAAACAAACAAACAAACAAAAACACCCTGCACAGAAATGGGCAATTTTACACAGTGGGAAAAGTTCCTTCCTATTTCCATATATGCTCTGCAACCCAGCGATGATCAAAAAGTCCAGTCTTTCCCTTGTCACATGTCTCTATATAAAACCAACCAACCATTCCCAATTCTAATGGTCCTAAATCCAAGCAGGCAAACCCACAGGTGAGAAATAAGATGGAATGTAGTGAGATGGAAGATCTTCTCTTTTTGACAATTCATCACATGTACAATCCAAATACACCTCTGATCACACAGTCCTCTGGGTTAGTCTTGTGAGGAGGTCAACTTTAAATTTGCCAGTTGTACACTCATGTAGAGCCTGACAAATCAGCCCATGCCTGATGTGCAACCAGAATGAGACCCGCTCCAAGTACTGGAACTACCTGGGAGGATCACAGCAACATAGTCCTGTAGCATGGTGCCTGTCTTTGGAATCAGCCTTTGTACCAGATGACTGGAAGGTACTAATGCAATGACGATTTCTAAAAAGGGGATCTAGAGGAGATCCTGTCAATTACAGACCAGTGAGCGAGGCATATTGGTAGAAACTGAAATAAAGAACAGAATTATCAGTCACATAGATAATCACTATTTGTTGGGGAAGAGTCAACATGGCATTTGTAAAGGGAAGTCATGCCTCATTAATCTTAATGAATTCTTCGAGGAAGTCAGTGAGCACCTGGATTAGGATGATCCAGTCAATATAGTGTACTTGGATTTTCAGAAAGCCTTTGACAAGGTTCCTCACCAAAGGCTCTTAAGGAAACTAAGTAGCCATGGGATAACAGGGAAGGTCCTTTCCTGGATCAATAATTTGTTGAAAGATAGGAAACAGAAGGTAGGAATAAATGGTCAGTTTTTACAATGGAGAGAGGTAAATAGCAGGGTCCCCCAAAGCACTGGAACCTGTGCTGTTCAACGTATTCATAACTGATCTGGAAAAGGGAGTGAGCAGTGTAATGGCAAATTTATTCAAGATCATTAAGTCCAAAGCAGACGGTGAGGAGTTAAAGAGGGATCTAACTAAACTGGGTGACTGGGCAACAAAATGGCAGATGAAATTCTATATTGATAAGTGGAAAGTAATGCACGTTGGAAAAAATAATCCTAACTGCACATATATAGTGATGGGTTCTAAATTAGCCAGTAACACTCAAGAAAGAGATCTTGGAGTCACTGTGCATAGCTCTCTGAAAACGTCCACTCAATGCACAACAGAGATCTAAAAGGCTAACAGTATAGGAGCTATTAGCAAAGGGATAAAAATAAGACAGAAAAATATAAAACCGCTATGCAAGTCCATCATGTATCCACATCTTGAATTCTGTGTCTAGTCTTGGTCGCCTCATCTCAGAAAGGACATAGTGCAGGGGTGGGCAAACTATGGCCCACAGGCTAGATCCAGCCCACCAGCTGTTTTAATCTGGTCCTTGAGCTCCCGCTGGGGAGCAGGATCTGGGGTTTGCCCCACTCCGGTGCCCCAGCTGGGGGGCAGGGTCGGAGGCCGCTCCACGCAACTCCCGGAAGCAGCGGCATGGCCCCTTTCTGGCTCCTATGTGTAGGGGCAGCCAGGGGGCTCCGCTCTGCACACTGGACCCACCCCAAGCGCCGCTCCCACAGCTCCCATTGGCCGGGAACCATGGCCAATGGGAGCTGCAGGGGTGATGCTTGTGGGCGGGGCAGCGTGCAGAGCCGCCTGGCCATGCCTCCGTGTAGGAACCGGAGAAGGGACATGCTGCTGCTTCTGGGAACTGCTTGTGATAAGCGCCGCCCGGAGCCTGCACCCCTGAGCCTCCCCCCATGCCCCAACCTCCTACTCCAGCCTTGATCCCCTTCCTGCCCTCCACACCCCTCAATCCCAGCCCAGAGCACCCTCCTGCACTCCAAACCTGTCATCCCCAACCCCATGCCAGAGCCCACACCCTCACTCCCCACACCCCAACCCCCTGCCCCAGCCCTGATCCCCCTCCTGCCCCTTTTGAATCCCTCGATCCCAGCCTGGAGCACCCTCCTGCTCCCCGAGCCCCTCATCCTCAGCCCCACCCCAGAGCCCACACCCCCAACCAGAGCCCGCACCCCTTTCCGCACCCCAACCCCCTGCCTGGAGCTCCCTCCAGCACCCTGAACTCCTCATTTCTGACCCCATCCCAGAGCCCCCACCCCCAACCAGAGCCCTCACCCCCTTCCACACCCCAAGCCCAATTTTGTGAGCATTCATGGCCCACCGTACAATTTCTATTCCCAGATGTGGCCCCTTGGGCTAAAAAGTTTGCCCACCCCTGATATAGTGGAAATGGAAAAGGTTCAGAGAAGGGCAACAAAGATGGTCAACGGTATGGAGTGGCTTCCATACAAGGAGAGATTGAAAATATTAGGGCTATTCAATTTAGAAAAGAGATGACTAAGGGGGTTGTGATAGAAGTCTATCAAATCACGAATGGTGTGGAAATAGTGAGTAGAGAAGTGTTATTTACACTTTCCCACAATATAAAAAACAGGGGTCACCTGATGAATGAATAAACAACAGATTTATTACAGACAGGAGGAAGTACGACTTCACACAATGCACAACTAATCTGTTGAATTCAATGCCATGGATAGCCAGAAGTATAACTGGGTTCAAAAAATAAAAGTTATGGGAGATAGGTCCATCAGTGGCTATTAGCCAAGATGATCAGGGATGTAACCCCATGATCAGGGTGATCTTAAACCTCTCACTGTCAGAAGCTGGGAGTGGAAGTCAGAGATGGAAGCCATAATTGCCCTGTTCTGTACAATCCATCTGAAGCTCTGGTGTGGGCCATTGTCAGAGACAGGATACTGGGCCTGATAAACAATGGTCTGACCCAGTACGGCAGCTCTTATGTTCTTCTGTGCCGAGGCAGAAGCAGGGGCCAATTTTTTAATGTCTGCATAAACTTTCATACAGTGTAAGTGCACAAATGTTGTATTAGGACTAGATTAAATAGGAAAAAATCCCTGAACACTGTCTACCTACTGTTCTGTGCAAACCAGAGAGGAGGTTATATGATCTCTGAAAAATCCAGGTTTTGCACAGCCTCGTGCAGTTTTTTATGTTGCAGAAACAATTAAACCTTTACACTGAATTTGGCTGTTCGTGTCTGGGTGAACATTGTATTTTTCATAGAAAATTGCATTTCAAGTGAATGTTCTCCTTGTGAAGTGCAGCATTGTGACTTTGTATCCAGGTGAGAAAAGCACATTTTTGCACAGCTCACCTGACTGATATCTTAATAGCATATGAATTGATCAAAATGATAAAAAAGTCATTGAATAATTTAATATGAAGTAAAGTGACAACACCTTGAAAAATATCTCTGCGTATTTTTGACAGTGAAGATAGAGACAATAGTGATTCTTGACATGCCAGACAGGAGGGAATCGAAAGGATTTTAGCATGGTTTTCTTTAACAGCAGGTCATAATGGAAACACGTACCCTTACATTTATTCAGTGCTGAAAGAATTACTAGTTTGATAACGACTAGGAATGTTGTTATTAAAACAGTATGTGCAGTTCATTTTCAACAGTTTTGAATTAGAGTCTGCACTAATGAAACGGATACGGTTTCTTTCACAAAGGGCAGATCTGTTAGTTAATATAGCTGCAGCAGTGCCTTGTGGACCATGCCTTTAGCTCTATTTGTATTTCACAGCATGATAAGCAAAGAGTGTTGATTTTCAAGGATCCTGCTGATGAAAGGTAATGGCATTATTACATCTTTATCACAAAAAAAGAACTACATGGTAAATGATTTTCCCCTTTTTTCTTTTTTCTTTTTGCTGTTGCACAAAAGATTTCTTGGTTAGAAAGCCTTTTTATTTCTTTAAATCATTTTAGCCTTGGAAATGATATGTTATTATTTAATGTCTGCACAGCAAGCCTGAGAGCACCTAATAGCGAATGGATTGGAAGTGAAGTGCCTCCTGCTCACAGATATGGATCGGCTCAGTCACACGCTGTACCAGCTGTCATCTCAGCCATACTGCTGTGATTTAATTAGTCTGTTTATGTCCTTTCTAATAATATTTCCATCTCTATGAAAGGGCAAATGCGACAGGGACTCTTTTCCTCTCTGGTTCCTCAGACTGAGGAATGTGGCCTACATCTGATATGCCGAGATGCGGGATTGAATCACCATTCCTGTCACTTCAAGCTGTTGATAAATTGTTCAGCCAAGAAGTGTACTTACTTCCTTGGGGTCATTTGTGGGCTAGGGGGCTGTAATCTGCATAGGGACAAAAAAAGAGAAAGACCAAAGATAATTTTTTTAAAGTTGAGACCAAAGCACAGAGAAATGTGAGCTGATGAGCTTTGGTAAATCATTACATTTTAAAAAGAGATCTCATGTGATTTATACTCCCAAGCTTGTACGAGTAAACGATTAGAGTTTGAAGAAGTAGAATAATTATATTTCACTCCTCTGACAATTTTAAAAACACTACCACTCATGTCAGGTCATCAAAATGCCTCTAGAGGAACGCATGCTTAAAAGAGGAATGACATGAGTTTTGTATTTTAAAATCAAAACCAAGATTTGTCCAGACTGAACAAAATGCTGACAGTTTTATAAAGAAGCATTTTTGGTTATAGTAAAATCTGCTAATTTGCTATTTATAGATTATTTCCCCCCTCAATTTCTTTCATGGACCATATATAAAAAGTACTGAAAATACCTAGAGAAGTTATTCTAGATAAAGAAAAATCAAATCAGATTGTTGGCATTGCTTTAGATACCTCAAGGCCTCACTTACTCTTCCCTATGGAATTTTCTAGCTTTTTGTTTTTTGTTATTTTTTACCAATGCCATTAAGGAAAAAAATCCTTATAAATTATATTTTCAAAATGTTTACCTTCTCTTGGGTTTTCAGATGCATTCAGTATACATTCTAGGTCATGCACTTCAGTTAGGGTCAGGAGCTCAGAGTTAACCCAAAGACAGGTCAGAGTGGCCACTGGCCAGTGGCTGCCCTTCTTTTTTAGGAAGAATACCATTGGTTAATTTCCAGTGTTGTTTTCAAGTTCTGGGGGTTGGCTGGCCAATGAGATGCCCATTTTATAAGGGAACAGCATCAGGGGGAGGGGAGCCCTTTTTTAACTACTCTTCAATGCTGTACACTTGCCATTTTTTTCATTCATTTTGACCCCTCTCGCTCTCTGATGTGCCTCTCACTGACAGAAGCTGCACACTGACATCATCAGTTCAGAAGACAAAAAACCCATGACACTTTTTAAAAAAAAAAGATAAGGAGCTTTTGTATGACTATAGAGGGCTGAATATCTTGAAACTGACACTATCATTGACTTTCCATGAACCTTAGGCTCCTAAATGCTCGTTGCTTTTCAAAATGGTACTTAGACTCCTAACTCACTTAGGTACTTTTAAAAAAGTTACCCAAAGAGACCTTAGAGAAGGCTTGATTAAAAGAAGAGTTTGTATATTTCTGTCACACATGTAATACAACATCTAGTGATTGGTTGCTGGTTTAGGGAAAAAAAATTCATTAGAATATAACTTTTGATTTACTTTAACTACAACAGAAAAACTTAGTGGAACTAATAACTGTAGATTCCTTTTTAGCTGCTTCAGCCTTACAGCATCCCTGGTTGATTTCACTGATGCAATCAGATCTTCTGTTCTTCTCTGAGATTGCCAAGTAAATAATTAGGATTACTGTGTATATTAGAAATTAATCTTGAGGCTTTTGGAGGTATATTGCCTGGTTCTGCAGTCACCATAAAGAGTATTGCTTGTGTGGTGAACTTTATTAATACATGAACATAGAATGATTTTTTAAAACATTCAGATTTCAATTAAGCTTGGGTCCAGGGGATGAAAGTGTAATACACTGATCCTCAATATTTTTTAATAAATAACTTAATCAGCACAGTTTAACTTGACAGAAATATTTTTAATGATGGCAAACAAACTTACCAGTAAGCATTTGACAGCATTATTTATTAATATGAAAAATGAATTGTGAGATGTGTGATTGTGTGATGATGCACTCATTTAGTTCCTTTTTTTCTTTTACTAATCTCTGTCATGTTGGATTTATAAATGGAACTGAGTGACCTTTGAAACTGTGATGGAAATGAAGAGATAGACACAACTTGAAAGGACAAACCAATTAATATAAATGTGTTACACATAAAGAACTGATTTCAATTCATTGCTATGTACGTAAGCCTTTTGGGTAATTAGCTGAACAAAACAGTAAAAACAAAATATGTGACAGAGGTATGATATATACATTTAACTTCTCCATAATAAGGTAGATCTGTCTTATGTCATGTGTATCACACCACAGGAAAGCCAAAATATTTACTTGGCTGTGATACAAAGAGCAATGATAAATTCCATGATTTGAAAAGATCCTTTTAATTGGAAAGCCTGGGTGAGAACTTTCCATGTTGCATTCGTTCATTTTATACATTTTTATAAATAAAATATAAAGTAGTAATCTTCCTGCTCTCTCTCACTAACTCCATCTTCCTCTCCAATACTTATAATTGATCTCCTAAAACACATGTGCAGTACGGTTTTAAAATATTCCAATCCAGGAATTTCTACATGGGGTATTATTTTTTCTGCAGTTGCCCTGTAATGATAAAAACATTTATCATCCTGAGATCAATACAAACGTCTTGGGTATTCTTGTTTAAGAAAATTATAGCATCTCTCTCTCTCTCCCTTATTTATTTATTTTTCTGATAAAGAATGAACCTTGTGTTATATACATTTTAAACCCCCTGCACATATTGTTTCTTTACAGGCTTAATTACAGAATACGATCAATTTAATATAAAGGTTTCAAAATATTGTTATCGATGCCCAACAAGGAAAAAAAGAGAAATACAAGCTTGACATTTTCAAACAGTTGCATTTGAAAGACTTTCACTACTAATTGATTTTTAAAAGAGTTCTTTGGAAAAGTGAACTCAGAAATGTTTGGAAGTGCCTTGGCAGTCTTCCAGAACATTTACTACAAAGCATAACTAGGCAGTTTCTGAGGCCACCCTACATCAGAAAAGATGTGTTCTATGTATAGCCTAATCTAATTTGGTATCTTAGCTGTACGCTTACATACTGAACTGTGTGTATTTTCAGTATTTTGTGGACATTAGATATTCAAATGATCACTTGGCACAAAGGAACAATTCCCTTCCTGTGTCAGAAACAGGGCTTTAGAAATAAGATTTTTTTTTTAAGTTCAGTAAAACAAGCTATAGATAAATCTGGCTGTGCTCCATTAGTATTGATTTCATTATTTTAAGCAGTTTTTTGAGCATCTTTATGTGCTGATGCTATTTCCTGCCATTGACTCACCGAACTGTCTGTTCATTAAAGTCAATATTTTTGCACAGGGTGTAAGAAGATGTCCTATATTATGTACAATTATCAGTTTCTTAAAGTTACATTTTAGCATGGATTGGGTGGTATTGTCTATCCTATAATGTTTTAGAGTTCTTTCTTAGTTGACGGAAGTCGAAACAAAAATTCTACTTTTTTGTGGAATATGAACTTTGAAAACCTACATAGACAGCTGAAATATTAATGGACATTATACATCTATTCTGTTTCGGCAAAAGAGCAGACCAAACGATAATGAGTAACATTGACCAAAAGCAATTACTTTAAAAGGATACTGCTAAGTATCTGAGAAAAATGATTTCTTTGACTAGTTGTTTGTCAGGCCCTGTGTGGTGTTTATTGATTGCACTTGAATATATAGCTCCCATGATTGAAAATGCTGCTGGTAATGTCCTTCTCTTTACAGTGTTGAGTGTCTTATTGAGAATGATAAGAGACAAATTTATACAGAAAACAAATACACATTAGAGCCTTAAATTAGCCAATTGTGGCCTATGGATTGCTCATGATATTAATTTTCTAGTCTGTAATCTTTTGTGAAACTAATGTTTAGAATGAGATGGTGAAGTCTGTGTTTAAAATAAAATGGAATTTTGTTTTTCATGCGCATTATCTTTTTTCTCTGTATCTTGATTATCTACAATTGTGCTATACTGTGAAGTACAGTAGGCTTGAAAAGAGTCATAGATAATACTTCAGCAAGCATTTCTCCTCAGGGATAGATATGGCAAATGTATTTAACTCATGCTTCTTCCCTCCTCCTCAGAAAATCTCACCTTGGTGTGGGTGAGTGCTGGTTTAAAATGCTGCCAATCAATTAGAATGGGTACTTTGAGTAGAGGTCTTCTAGACAGTGTCTGATTCTATTGCCTGGCTATACCAAAAGAAGGACAGGAGACATTTGGCATGGGTTTAATCAGGCCGCAACTTTATTATTAGATGTCTGGGACTACCCGGCAGATAACAGTGTATAGTGCAGGTAACCTCATGTTTATTCCGTAATTACCCGGGGAGTTTTTACCAGCTCCCCCTCTTTTTTCATCCAGGTCCCTCCAGCAAATCCATTGCTGGGACCTTACCATCCATGCCCCCGTCCCCCCTCTTGTAGGAGTGTTAAGGTGGGCTATAAGAATGGGGGGTTGGCTCCCTGCCATACCAATCATAGGAGTCCCCAACTACCCCCCCCCCATTCATTCCTTTAATGAACACCTCTTTTTAAGTCTTTTTCTCAGCCATTTATCTGGTCACTATATACCTTTCCTATGGAGTACCTGCACAGGACCTCCACCCTAAATAATGAGTTGCGACTGGTGCCCTACCGCCATTCATTCCATGTATGAATAGAACCCTTCCTGAACCTGCTGTGGCAAAGGCCAAAAACCCCCAACTGCACCCAAACCAATATGTTGGTAAGGAAAAAATTCCTTCCCAGCCCCCCTCTAGTGGTGTTGCAGTTGTCCCTCCCCCTCTGGGTCAGAGGGAGGCCACACCGCCTCATAACATCACTGGGGGCGCAGCCTACTGTCAAGGGGAATTAGCAGAGTAGGTTTTAGTTTCCTGGTCCTTTGCAACAGTGTGGAACCCCAAACAGCCAATAGGCCCTAGTCCCTCAGGCAGGGCTGGGTTAACTAGCAGTCTGTAGACCCCGGCCTGTGATCGAGCAGCGCAACAAAGCAGTCTATAAGTTCTAATGCTTAGGCAGGGTGGAGCTGGCCAGGGCTGCACTGGGTCTCTGTAGGGATTCTGAGTCTTCCCCTGGAGGAGGGAGGACAGGGCCTGGTCTGCCTCCACAGCCAGGTCCATGTCTTCCACCTCCAGGCCCTGCAGAGATTCCTTTATGGTGCAGGTAGTCCGGTGTGGAGCACATTGGCGCACACCTTCCTCTGCTGCCTTCGAGGGCTCCAATACGACCGGCAGCTCTTTTTCCTCCATCTGGGGGGGGTCTTCCGCGAGACCTCTCCAAGCTGCCGGTCTTCTACCAGGACCTCCTCCGGATCTGGAAGTGCTCTTGGTAAGCAGATCCGTGGTGGCCACCAAGGGGGCAAACCTCCTCACGGAGCCCCTACTACACATTCCCCATCTTTGTGTGCAGTGACAGAGTCCCCCTCAGTGCGCCAGAGGCTGGTCCTGGCAGAAATCACCAGAATTGGAGACCTCCTTGACTACGACAGGGGGACTGGGTGGATCCCCGAGTGCTTGGTTGGCGCATGGGGCTCTCCACCCTTCAGGACCCCTCTGCACATACTCCAGGAGGTGGGGGCAGCCTTATCATCCACCTCTCAAGTTTTCCTTGAGTGTGTCCTGCAAGAGGATGCTCCGCATCCTCCCCTCACCACAGGCCCTCCATACTTTTTAATTGGGCTCTTGCCCCACGAGCCCCCCCAGCCCTCTCCCTTCCATAACCACAGCTGGCTGCACGCCCTGCAGCCAGTTCCTTTCTAAACCACACCAAGAGAACAACATTACATGCTCATGCTCCACATGTTTCACTTCCTCACCCTCATATCCTGCCCCAATACCAAGTGGCGGGACCTGTAGAGGGTGAGAACCCGGTGGGCCAGCCTATATTCCACTCTGGTCCCACAGCCCGCTGGGGATATCGGTTGACGGCTCCTTTATGAGCACGGGTG